TTTTGTTTTGATTGCTTTTATTCTATTTTGTTTGGTTTGGTTTATTACATGTGATGGTAGAGGCAGCTACTTTCAAGATAACCAGAGGCATGATAGTACCCACTGTTGGTGTCCTGTGTCTTGTTTTCCAGTCCTGTGTCATGTTCACTGTTTTGTTTTAATTGGCTCTATTCTGTTTTGTTTAGTTTGATCTTATTGTCTTAAAAAAGTGTTCTCCTTGAGTTTAATTTTTCCTTACAATATTTGATATTTGTACTCTTAAGCTAATAGCTTTTCAGCAGGAGGATAGCTTGGCTTCTCCTTATAGGCCTGTCAGTTTACTCTGTATATTTTGAGGCTATTTTGAATTAGCATGATTTCATTCATGCATTATTCTTATTATCTGAGTACCTATCTTTAGCTTGCAGTCTTAAATTCTCCTTCTTCTTATTAATGTATTGAGCCTAGTTTTGGTTTATATTTGTTCCTGCATTTTTCCAGTCAGTCTATTTTCAGCCTTTACTAATTTGCTTTCAATGTATTTCTTGTGAATCTGTATTTGATTTTTTTTCCTTTTTGGCTCAGTCTGATATTCTATGTCTTTTCAAAAGGAATTTGATCCATTTACCTCTATTGTGCTTAGTGGTATATTCGGATTTCTGACATCTGGTCTCTTCTGTCTTTTCTCTCTTCCTAGCTCCCGTGAGACAGAATGACTTTGCTTTCTCCCCTTGTATTTTTTATTGGCTTGTGCTTTATGCATTGGATTTCTTTTATTACAGAGGTGGTTCAGAGTGTTGAAAAGCAGACTTATGTGATCTAATGCTTTTGACACCTTTATTCGCCCTTTAGAAAATATAAAGACCTTAACTATATAAATTATCATCTTCCAAGTTATTTAGTGTTGTAGTCTTACTTTGTTTGTAAGTTTCCCTAAAGTATTCCTTACTTTAAGCCAGCGCATGTTTTGATTTATTAACATTTTTGCTTCTGTCTTTTTATTACTGATTTCTGAACTCAGTTTTGCTTGCTATTGATTTCTCTCTTTTCTATTATTAGTTTTTTAAAATATTAGGTTGGCTCAATCTGTGTTTTCTGAGTATAAAAAAACATGGTACAAATCTAGTTTTGTCATTCCCAAATGGCTAATCTGTTATGCTGATTTTTTTTTTTTTTTGCAACAGTGGTAATTAAACCCTGGGTCTTTGCACTGAGCTACATATATCCCTCACCTTTTTAAATTTTGAAATAGGGTCTTGCCAAGTTGTTAAGTTGCCCAGGTTGGGTTCAAACTTGTGACCCTCATGCTTCAGGGTTCAGTGATGTACAGTATGTCTGGTGAATAATCCATTCTTCATATATTTGAATCTTCTCTGAATAATCTGTTCTGTTCTAAGCATAGTGTACATTCAGATATACATGGGAACTTATCACATGATAAGGACAAAATTTCAAATTGTTAGAGAAGGGTAGATAGGTCCATTTCCAGTATGACTCTGCTTTAATAATAGTGTTTTATATTATAGTTCTCTATATGGCAGGGTCAGTTTTCCCTATATAGTGTTCCAAGCTATTGTCTCAGGCTGACTTTTCTAGAACAATTTTGGGCAGGGGACGGTAATGCATGCCTGTAATCCCTGCACTCAGGAGGCTGAGGCAGGAAGATTGTCCCAAGTTTTAGGCCAGCTTGGGCTACATAGTAAGACTCCCCTCTCAAAAACAAAAGGAAAAGGAAAAATTCTGGAGTTATTTTACCAATTTGCTTCCACCTTCCTGCTGGACATCTGTGACAATTTGATTGGAATTTTGTGGACACTGCAGAATAATAGCAAATCTATTTCTTTATAATCTTGAGTTTTCCGGTCCTGCCTCTCTGTGTTTCTTCTCATGCATCTTAGCGGCATTTTTCTCCCTGTAGTGTTGGGGATTGAACCCAGGGCCTCACGTATGCTAGGCAAGAGTCCACCCACAGAGCCTCTCACTGCGGGGTCTTGCTGGGCTGCCCAGCCTAGAGTCCAGCTTCTATTCTTCCTGCCTCAGCCTCTAGGAAGCTGGGATTATAGCTGTGTGCAGCTGTGCCTGGCTCTGCACATTTCATAGCTACTTACATCAGTCCTCGCGTATTTCTCATACATTTTATTTTTCTCCTTTTTTCTTCATGAGTGCCTGTTATATTACAGGATGGAAGGTGGTGTGTGTGTTTGTGTGTGTGTGTGTGTGTGTGTGTGTGTGTTTGTGTGTGTGCTTTGTCATCTCTGATGTACTATAATCTTCAGTTCAGATACTGCCTTTCCCCCACCCTCACCCCTCCTGGTTTCTGTTATAACTCGTGCCCCGGTATAAAATCCAAGGAGGCAAGAGACCGAAAATTTAGGTGGCAAAGGCTTTATTTCCAGGCCTGGCGACCAGTCTCCGGGAGCCAATTTGGAGACTGTCTCCCAGAGACTGAAGGGAGGACTTTAAAAAGAGGCTGGAGGAAAAGGGTGGGGGGAGAAACAAAGAAACCTGCAGAGCCATCAAACTTGTTGACCCGAGTCTGGAAACTAAGTGGACAGTATTGCTGTCCACTTAGCTCTGACAATCTCGGGAGTTCCTGGTGTTTCTCAAATTACTCCCATCCTACAGACTGACATTATCTCGGAGTGGCACATCTGCAGCAATATTTGGGGAAGAAAGTGGACAGTTAATTATCCTAGGACAGCTCATTTTCGCTAGTAGGTGCGAAGGGGTCAAGAGTTACAAGAAGCTGAAACTTAAGTTTTACAAAGATCTGATATCTAACTCATTTGATGCATACAGAACAAAAGGAAAGCACCAATTAGGGTTTGGGCCATAGTATTTCCCGGTAATTTCTTTGAAGCTAAACAGTTCTTAAAATTTGGGGCAGGCTCATTTTATGACAGATCATCACCGGGTCAGGAAGAGGTCACCAGAAACCCAAATTCTTTATGGCCTAGATAGATAGGTGAGGGGAGAGGGAGGCAATAAGGCGCCATACAGAACAGAAAAAGGCAGTTATGTGTCAAGGTCAGGGTAAAGGGTTAAACTCATACGCAAATCTCTCTGCACGCAAGCAGGTTACTTTAAACAAGTGTAAATTAATGGGCCATTCTAGTTTTCTTTAGCTCTTTAGCGGAGAATAGAGGCGCCTAACAGTGATTAACAACCCTTGTTAGCTTGTTTTAGCACAACTTCTGTAGTTTGTAGAGGGCAACAATGGTTAACATATCAATTAGGTGAGATTCTTGCAATTCTTTACAGAGGAGAGTGTTGCTCAACATATCAATTAGGTCACTTAACATATCAGTTAGGGAAAAAAGATAAAAAACACATTTAGTAAGCCACGTTTGCAGGTTTGCTATAATACACATATAACGAAGCTATTTTCTTAGAGTACAACAGTTTCCTTCACCTCATCTTTTTATTTTTGTAATTCTATTTTTATTTGGTTTCTCATATAAGAGAAAACACACAGTCTTTAATTTTTGGAGCCTCGCTCGCTTCATGGGACATGCTGGTTTTTAGTTCCATCCATTTTTCTGCGAAAGACAGGATCTCTTCTTCCTGGCACAGTACCAGTCCACTCTATACAGACCACCTTTCCATATCTGCTCAGCTGTCTGGGCCTCTTGGCAGTGTCCACATCATGGCTGTCATGAATTGTGCCACTATAAGCATTGATCTGCAGTCATCCCAACAGTGCAGGGTCCTTAATCCTGCAGGAATGTACCCGGCAGTGGCGTAGCTGGATCCAGTGGTGTTTCTATGTTCAGGGTTTCGAAGAATCTTCACATTGATTTCTACAGTGGCTGTGCTAATCTCCATTCCCATCAGTAGCAGCAGTGTAAAAGAGTTCCTTTTCATCCTGCGTTCTTGCCAGAATTCACTATTTTGTGTATTCTCCCTCAACTTTGGTTTTGAGACAGGGTCTCACTGTGGTCCAGACTGGTTCTGAATTACTACGTAGTCCAGGATGTCTTCAGACTTGTGCGGATCCTCCTGCCTTAGCCTCCTGAGTGCTGGAATTATAGGCATGTGCTACCACACTGGCATTTATGTATTTTCTTTCTTTGGGTGGGGGAAGTACTGGGACTCAAACTCAGGACTTCAGGCTTGCTAGGCAGGTGCTGCACCACTGAGCTAAATCCCTGGCCTTGTTCATGTATTCATGATGATAGCCATGCTCCGTAGGGTAAGAGGAAATGTCTGGTTTTGATTTGCATTTGTCTGAACATTTTTCCATATAGCTTTTGGTCAGTTGAACAACTTTTGAGACAATGAAACCCAGAGCACCTAGAATCCCTCCTAGTCTCTCTGTGACCCTAGGGGTTTTTTGTGAGAAGAGAACTCAGTTTTCAAGTGAGCATCGTCCAGAGCATTGTGAGTGTTCCATAAAAAATGCATCACCATGCAATCTTAGGTTGCCCGTCCTTCTTTATTTATTCAGAAGTATTGAATAAGCACTGACCATAGATCAGAAGTTCTGCTAACTGCTCCTTTAGACATAGAGGAACTGGCAGTCTATCTCCTCTTCAAATTCATGGCTTTCATACTCAAGTCTTATTGTCATCTTTTCATTATCTCTCTCTGTCATATTACTATATGTGTTCTTGCTTTGTTTGCTGCTTGCTTTTGGGGGGAGGTTTGAGAGAGTATCTCACTATGCAGTTCCATCTGTCCTTTGAATTTGTGGCAGTTCTCCTGCCTCAGCCTCCCAAGTGCTGAAATTATAGGCATGTGCCACCATACCCAGCTTTCTTTTCTTTTTCTTTTTCCTTTGGTAATATAAGACTGAACCTAGGGCCTTTGCACTGAGCTGCTTAATTTTTTGAAGAGTGTCCTGCTGAGTTGCTCAGGCTGTGCTCAGACTTGGTATCCTTCTGCCTCAGCTTCTCAGAGTTCTGGGATTACAGGCACCATATCTAACTTGTTGTTGTTCACTGTGATCTAATATATTGCAAAAATAATCACTCATTTCTAGCTCACTAAATGTATTGTCTCCTCCACTTTCACTACCCCAGGAAAAAAGGGGAAGATTTGCAGATTTACTGGATGCTAAATATTTACGGACTACATTACAAATCTGGGTCATATGGTAAGAACACAATTATTTCAAAATCAGTTTCAAATACTGTAATACCTTGGTTCACAAGTGCTTCTATTTGCAAATAATTCAGTTCACAAACAAAAATGTTTGGCAAAATTTTGCTTCCATTTGCAAACTCTAGTGGGTGTAGAACATGAACAATTCCATCGTCCCCACACAAACACAAGTTAGGTTCATAAACCGAGGTACCAGTGTGTACAGGTTTTAGTATAATGACCTCTTATTTGTGGTTTTTCTTCCTATGATTTCTGTTGCTCCTGGTTCATCACAATCTGATAATATCAATTCTTGACTCATTGGAGAGATATCACGTAACTTGTATTATAGTATGCTGTTATAATTTTCTTTTATTATTAGCTATAATCTCATACCATGCCTAATTTATATTTATCATCAGTGTATGTAGGAAAAACCCTCACATATATGTATGGCAGTGGTGGCGAACCTATGTTACCACGTCACAATGGGCTGTTTGTATTACTGAAACCTCTAAAAGTTGTACCATCACCGATGTAGGAGTTGGTACTCTTTGGGGTTTCAAGCAAAGATCTCTTGGAGGTTCTTGGAGTGTCTTTCCTCTGGATAAGGGGCCGGAGGTTCCTGCAGATATACTCTTAGTACTTCTGAGAGAGAACACAGGGCAGACTCCAAAGATTTCTTTCAGCAACATCTGATCTATCTAATAACACTGTTCCTCCACCAGCAACAGCAGCAGCAGCAGCAGCAGAAATAAGTAAAATTTTAAGGAAAAAACCACTCCAAAACTGTCTACAACCATTGCCTCTGTCGTGAGCACACATGTACACAATTTCTGCCCTTTTACAAACCAGGTCTTTTGTTTTACCATATGGCAAACATTGATCCTTTGAGGTCCCCAATGACAAACTCAGTGGGCAGCCTTTTGTGATGCTCTCTGCTTCCTGACTCTGCAGCCTTGACCTTGACTAAGCAAAGATTTCCTAAACAAGACCAAAAGAACGCTTACTATAAGGGAAAAGGTTGATGACTTTACTCTATTAGTTGTATCATGAGAAGGCCAAAAGGTAAGCTACCAAGTGGGAGGAGAAATTTGGAGAATATATTATTTTGGAGATTCATATATCTTAGTTACTTTTCTTGTTGGTAGGACAAAATACCTGACAACCGAATGTTAAAGTGGGAAAAGTTTATTTTAGCTCAGAGATTGTAGATCTTTCATTCTGTAGTCAGCTGGCTTCAAGGCAGGGCACCATGGCACAGGGGCATCGCAGAGCAGAGACAGTCTGTGGCAGGGCAGGCAGGAAACAGGAAGCAGCAGCAGCTTCCATTTCCCCTTTAGCCCATCCAGGTTATAAGGCTATTGGAAGCTGCTCCTACCCAGGGTGGGGCTTCCAATATCCGTATCCAGAACTGTGCTAACTGGTGGACTGCTCCAGCATGATACCCTGAACCCCATATCACACACCCATGATTCAGCCACTCCTCAAAGCCCCATCAGTGAGCCTCTGAGGCTCTGGGGGCGCATCTAGACACAAGTCATAACAGCATATTATGATATTTGACAGATGCAATTTTTTCAACAAGATAAAGCTAGACAAGCTGCAAACAAGACAATAAGCTTGAATAGGCACATCACACAAAGTGTACATTCAATAAAAATGTTAAAACATACTCAACCTACAGTCATCAGGGAATGCAGATTAAAACCAGTAAGACAGCAGCACACCGGAATGGCTACTGACAAAGACCAGCTGCACCTAGTGCTGGGAGGGAAGCCAAGGGCTGGACCCTCTATGGGCAGCGGGCTGCACACCCACGTGCTCACCACTATAGGAGGCTGCGTGGACGAATCTGCGACAGTGGAAAGCGGGCATACCTTAGGCACCAGTGGCCCCACTGCTGAGGGTGTACCCACGGAAATGCATCCACACCACGGGAGGTACCGGCGCGGGGCTTTCCGTGCTCTCTGCCTGTTCCATCCCGCGCCTTCTGTTTGAGACACCTCCCCTCCTTCCCTCTGCCGCTTGTTTCTTTCTTTCCTCAGAGCTGGTGCGAGTTCTGCTGTGATGCTCTCTCCCTTCCAGGCTGGGAATCTCTTTCGCCTACTACGGGGTCATCCTGGCCAGCGCTGAGCTGCTGGAGCGCGACCTGGTGTGCGGAGCGAAGTCGGAGTCCCAGGCAGTGCATGGTGCGGACTCGGAGGGCAGCCAGAGTCCCTGCTACTGCCACCTGTTCGCACCCTCCGACTACCGGACCATGATCATCAGCACCGTCGGGGAGATTGCTCGTACGTGTCTGTGCGTGTGTGCGTGCGTGTGTCTGTGTGTGTGTGTGTGTGTGTGTGTGTGTGTGTGTGTGTGTGTTGGGGTAGAACATCACAGCACAGCTCGCCCAGGAAGGAAGGAGGGAAGGGAGGAAGGATGGACAGACAGACACTTCTCCCTTCTGCAGGGAGGCTGCGAGCCCTCCCTGGCCCCGGGAGTCTCAGGAGATGGGAGGGAGTCTGGGACATGGCTCCTGCCTAGCGGAACTGCACAAGGCCCCAAATTCTGCCCGTTTGAGTTGATTTTGGATTAGTGTGGGGAAGCCCTGGAGGACTAAAGCTTTGGATCACTGTGTTACATCCTCATCACACACACACACACACACACACACACACACACACTCAACATCTCTGAAATGGGAATAACTTGTTAGATTTCCATCTTGTATGTCTGTCTGTCCGCCTTCCCTTCCACCCTGCCTTCCCTCCTTCCACTGTCCATCCAACCCTCTCCACTTTTTCCCTTCCTTTCTTCCTTCTGGGTTTTGCTAAGTTGCCCAGGCAGGGCTCAAACTTTGCTATCATCCTGCCTCAGCCTCCCAGTGCTGGGATATAGGAATATACTACTTAGATTTCAGTTGGCAGCATTATTTGTTTTAGCCAACACAAAATGATGGTTAAAAATCTTAAAAATCAGTGGAACCACTGGACGTGGTGGCACACTCCTGTAATCCCAGCACTTGGGAGGCTGAGGCAGGAGAATGTTGCAGGTTCAAGACCAGCCTTGGCTACAAAGTGAGCCCAAGGCCAGCCTGAACTGCATAGAGAGACACTGTCTCAAAAAAACCAAACCAAACAAAAATCAGCAGAACCTTGAATTCAGTGAAAATGAGTACAAGTCATCTGAAGCATAGGTCCAGCAACCTGGCCATTTAAGTGCACTGAGCTCTATGGTAAAATACCCTTTATGTGCACCAGTGTTTGACATTCCTGGACCCGTGTGGGGAGAATAGACTGGGGAAGTCGTGATATGTGGCTGAGTTCTGCATGGATCCTGGAGAAGTCTGGATGAGGGTGCTGCTGTCTGAAGTCAGGAGGATAAATCATGCCAGTGCTGGCAAACGCTGCTGTGCTCCAAGGAGCAGAAACTGTCCTTGCTGTTTGCTTTCCAGTGAACCCCTTAAACATCCTGGGCATCAATTTCCTGGGAAGACGGCTGAGCCTCTCTATCACCATGGGCTGCACGGCTTTATTTTTCCTTCTCCTCAATATTTGTACTTCCAGGTATGTTTTCCTTTAGTTGTTTGACAACATTTTGTGCGGTGGTTTTCAGATAGGTCCTGCAGTCCCCAGGTGCTCAGTAGGATCCAGAACCAGACCTTCCCCAGGAAGAGTGGAAAATGGGCTATTTGACTGGAAGTCTCAGGCCCAGTACCTGCAGGACACTTCCTCTTCCCGTGGGCCCCGCTCCCTTCAGTCATCATGGGATGTGGGCCCAGTGTTGGGGTACTTACTGTACCCCCCAAAATATTTAGGAACTTTCCCTCTTGTTATCCCCCAAATGACACTCTATGATAACTATTCACAAAGCATTTCTTTGGATTAGGTATCATAAGTAATCTAAAGATGCTATGCAAATAACTACACCATTTCATAGAAGGGACCTGATTTTGGTACCCATAAGACTGGGGTCCTGGAAACAATCTTTGGCAGATGCAAGCTGTTTGCCTCGTTGTTCAAGGCCTTACTCCTCTGGAAGCTGGGCTGGCACCTGTGGGGGACTGGCTTGAGGACTCTGTGTTCAGGCCAGGTGAGAGGCCAGGCCCTCCTCATTGTCCGCTGATTTCCCTCTGCTCCCTGTCCTCCAGCTCCGGCCTCATTGGCTTCCTGTTTATGCTGAGAGCTCTGGTGGCTGCGAACTTCAACACCATCTACATTTACACAGCCGAGGTGAGTGCCGGGCTGGGTGAGTGCTTGAGTCATGCAAAGTGAGCTGCTGAGAGGGGCTTTCGAACCATGGGCAGTGCATCCCTGACTTCTGATGATTCCCTTCCAACATCCCACTCAGATGACATCACCAAACTTGTCTGACATGGATTCTCTCCTCTCCCATTTAATCTGTTGAAGGCCAGGCTCAGAGAGGAAAGGTGGCCCCTTCCTTCTTTCTTACTGAGCTGCATGGCTGTGCAAAGCAGCTCCCATGCTGTGCCACAGGATCAACACAGCAAGAGCAGCAAGGGTCCTGTTCCATGAAACTAGCAGACGTCATTCTCTTCTCTGCCTCCTCCTTGCTCCCACCTTCTGTGGTACTGGGAGTTAAATACAGGGTCTTCACACTGAGCTATAATCCCAGTTTATCAGCATCATCATCATCATTTTGAGACAATATCTTCCTAGATTCCCAGGCTGGGTTTAAACTTGTGCTCTTCCTGCCTCGGCCTCCTGGAGTGTTAGGGCTCTAAGCATGTGTCACCATACCATTCTTTTGAAATATCATTTTTCAGCTGTTTCTGTTATTTGCTGCGTATAATTGAATTTATTTAATTTTGAATTTAATTGTGATTTACTCTTTATTCACTAAATTATAGAATTAATAAGTCTACTCTCTGGAAGGCACTGCTTGAACTAACTGGAAGATGTCCTCATAAGCCCCATCATAAAAAGCTACTATTCTCAGAAATTAAACAATATTTGAGTAGAAAACTTGCCAGGATTTGAAGCAGTCTTGTTATTCTCTGAGCTGGAGAAGAAGGCAAGGGCTGGTGGGAGAGGTTCATTTTCATCTCAGCTGTTCCAAGAAAGGATCTGACCTGTGCAAAACCATTCTAGCCACAGAGAAAGTACTCTCCTTTCCTCCTGCTCAGAGAAAAATAGGAAATTATAAGATATTTGAATGCTTCATTTTATTCCATTGGCAAAATCTAAAATTATTTTTTGAATTTATTAACCAAAAAATATTTGTGTAACATGATACATTTCTAGACATATTTTATAGTATTTGATTAAACATATTTTGAAATATGCTCACTTTGGGGGTCATTTCTAAGTATTTTAAATACCTATTGTTAAATTGCAAAGTTGGGGGCTGGGGATTTAGCTCAGCAGCGTAAGTACCTGCCTTGCAAGCAGGCGGTCGTGAATTCGATCCCCAGTACCGATAACAAGAAAAAAAAATTGCAAAGTTGTATTCTGTCATTGTTAGGTTCCAAATGACTCAGAACCTCAGTGGATTTTATCAATATAATAGCAAAAAAAAAAAAAAAAAAAAAACATCTCCATGTATCTGAGTCCATGATTTTCAGTCATAGCCAGAAGTCACATTTTTCAGAAAATAAATAGAGCAGCTAGATACAGTGGTACATGTTTAGCTACTTGGAAGGCTGAGGCAGGAGGATTGCAATGTTAGAGGCCAGCCTGGGCAACTTAGTGAGACTCTGTTTGAAACAATTTAAAAGAAGGCGGTGGGGGCTGGGCATAGCTCAGTGGTAGAGCACTTGCATAACATGCTCAGCACCCTGGATTCAAGCCCCAGCATCACAAAAAGTAAAATCCCCCATAAAGACACTCTACACCCAGACTTTGTCCTATAAATATAGAAGCAGGAAAGCATTTTGCTCTTGCTTTTGACACATGATGGCCAGTAAGATGTGGCCCACTGACAAGCTACATTCGTTGCTTTACTGAATGAACAAAAATGATTTTATCAGTATAGTATGGCATTTTAAAAAAGTTTTGAAAAACCAGTTTATATATAAGATATCACCCTAAAGTTTGATTTAATAAATGCTTGCTGACTTAATCAAGCTTCTGCCAGTTCCTATAAGAATTCAGAATCAAATTAAGATAGTTATACAGCCAGTTTCTCTTAGATCATTGAAAATAAAGGTTTGTGCTGATGTTGTTTGGACAAGATAATCATGCCTTGTACTCTGAATAACCACTAAAAATACAACAATATGCAATGTATTCATTGTTGTAACTCTTCTATTAACCTGTTTTGAAGCTGTTTTGTTGTTACTTTTATTTTTTTCTCTTAAAAGATAAGTGAAAAAAACATAAAAATCAAAACAAACAAACAAAAAACCCCCAAACAAACTCAGAATGAAGCCAGGCATGGTACAATGCACACCTATAATCCTAGCACTAGGAAGGCTGAGGCAAGAGGATCCCTGTGAGTTCAAGGCAGCCTAGACCGCAGAGCAAGACCCTACCTCCAAAAAACCAAACAATCTCTAAGGTGGGAATTTGGAGTCTGATCCAGAGTTATCTGTTTAAAATCTAAAATGTTCAGTAAAACATGCATTTCAGAAAGATGCTCCCTTAAAGGATACTTCATAAAGTGCTTATTTTTAATGGACATTTACTGTTATAAACATTCAAAGCTGGGTACCATGGGAAATTACGTGACTTGAAATTTTGTGACTTGAAGTTCTTTTGGTTTTCTGAGTACCTGGGGAGGGAGGAGCAGAAGAGAAAGTGACCGTGACTGGGTTTCTGTGCCTCTTGCAGGTCTACCCCACCACGATCCGAGCCCTGGGGATGGGGACCAGCGGCTCCCTGTGTCGCATTGGGGCGATGGTGGCGCCATTCATATCCCAGGTAGGCCGAGGGGTCTGCAGGAGAGTGAGCCCAAGGGCAGTCGGGAAGGAGGGGTCCAGCCTCTAAAGATGAGGGGCACAGCCCAGGATTCCTGCACTCTTTTGAGTTTTCCAAAGACACCATTGGGCTAAGGCTTCAGTGCCTTCGCATGGAGAAAGTGGTTGCTTTGGTGCATGGGCTCCTAGCCAGTCAGTGGTGTGAATGGTTAGCACTTTGGGGTCTGCTCAGCTGGGTCCTGTCAGAGCATATGCAAAAAGAAAGGGTGGGATGGGAGCCGGAGTTGGAGCTGGAGCTGGAGCACAGGAGTGACTGTTGGCTTGAGCCTGAGTTAGAGCTGTGGCTAGATATGTGTTAGGTTGCTTGTCTACACTGACAATGATGAAGAAACAAGAAATACAGGGAGGTGGTATTGGGACGGGACCTGTCACGTACAGACACACTGGTGCAGGGCGGGTGGGATCCAGGGGAGCATGTTTCAGGAGAGCAAACAGCAGATATGGTGAAACAAATCTGCTTGCTCAGGCTGCCACAAGAAAGGAAAGCCTGAGGCTGATGGTCCCGAGTGGGTGTGACGCTCCTCCCACCTGGCCGGAGCCTGTGGCTACTCACGCCCGCCTGAGTGTGCAGGCCTTGCTCTTCTCTCCCTGATGGCCAATGTGTCTCCCTGATGACACATGAGCTGTCCTTGCTTGCCTGTGTGGAGAATTTCCACAGATCTCCCGCACCTGTCCTCACTCTGCTCTGCTGAAGGCACATATCCGTGCTCTGTGGGTCCCTAGCCCAGTGTGGTCATTTGTCCTTGGCTGAGTTGCATCCATATGGATGCCAGCCAGGAGGACCAGGCAGCCAGGGCAGCTAGGAGGTGACATTCTTGGAAGAAAGGTCTTGCTGTGGGTGCAGGAGACTTCAACATACATTTCCTATAATTTAATTTAGGGATTTTGTGACCACCAGAGATTTTGAGAGTTTTAATTTTCTTGGCAGTGCTTTCCCTAATTATCTTAAAGAAAAATCAGGGCTTTTTTGTTTGTTCGTTTGTTTTTTTGTCTTTCTGAGACAGGGTCTCACTATGCAGTTCAGGCTGGCCTTGAGCTCACTTTGTAGCCCAGGCTGGACTCAAACTCACAACAGTCCTCCTGCCTCAGCCTCCCAAATGCTGGGAGTAGAGGCATGTGCCACCACAACCATTTTGAGGGCTGCTTTTGACATGTGCTTTTGCTTTTCAAAATTCCTTCATGTCTACTATTTCATCATTTTTCAGAAGAGTCCATTGCTGAAAGAAAGGAGTAAAACACTGACTTTCTCTGGATGACCAGGCCGAGGCATGGTCAACTCCCCAGCTTTCATTAGGAACTGAGTCTCTGGGTTCTCCAACTTCTGGTGGGTTTGGGGGCAGGAAAGAACCCCACTGGACCAGGTGTCCTGGGTCCATAGGCTCTGCTCTCCTTAGCATCCTGGGACTGCTATGGGTTTCCTCTTTCTTATTCCCAAAACAAGGCAGCATTAAATCAGCTAAGGAAAATGTCTACATGTGATCAGTGATATGTTTAAGCACTTGAATGACTATAGTCATGAGTGTAATACACATGCACCTCTAAAAATGAATGTTTGGAGAAATTTCGCTATCAGAAACTCATGTAATAGAAATAGTGGTAGCTGTATGTAGTCCAAGAAAACAAGAGGAAAAAAATTATTAAAGACTTACTAAAATACAGAAGGCACCAGTACATTTTGGAGGGACACAGACCCTAGGCTAGTGACACCAGGCATCTCTTGGTTCAGTGACGAATAACGCTGGTTCCTCCTGTGGGTGGCTGAGTCCTCCTAGCATACTCCTGTCACTATGGCTTACATTCAAGGCCCTTCTGCAAGCTTGTGTGACTGCAGTGAGTTCTGGGCTGGGTAGGAAAGCAACACTGTTTCCCTGGGCCCAGACTCAACAAACCAGTCTACCATCCAGAAAGAAGCTTGAAGAGCATCCAAAGTCTCTGAGGAGCTTCTCAGAGGCATGTCAGTGGGGCAGTCCATTTATAAGCTGCAGTGACTCCTGTAAGCATCTTATTTGCTCGACTGACTTCTGCCACCAGTGGCATGGCAGTTGTCCCCGGTCTCCTCCCTTCAGCCTTATCACTTTGCCCAAATACAGCAGATCCAGTTTTTCTGTGCTTCCTACACAATTCTCTGAAATCTGTTCTCTCAAGCAGCTCTCTGCTGTGATTGAAATTATTTAGCCTGAGATATTTGTTTGTTAGGATTCCGAAGGGAGTAGGGTAGATAAACAGGATCTTTGTTAGGAGGGAAAGTGGTTCCTTCAATTAGGATCCTATTTTGTTTCCGGGTGTGGTGGCTCATGCCTGTAATCCCAGTACTCTGGGAGGCTGAGGCAGGAGGATCGTTGCGAGTTCGAGACCAGCCTGGGCTACAAAGTGAGCTCAAGGCCAGCCTGAACTGCACAGCGAGACCCTGTCTCAAAAAGACTAAATAAATAAATAAATAAATAAATAAATAAATGGATTATATTTTGGTGACTCATTCAGCAAATTTTTATTTCTGTAGTAATTTCTATTAATTTTAGAGAACTTAGTAGTGGGTCTCTAAATTATTACTTAGTAGCCTAGAGAACTTAGTAGTTCTCTAAAATAGTTTGTTAGGACCCCTCCACACACACACACAGATTCAATTAGCCATAATGTGCATTTGGTAAAACAATTAAAAATTATTCCAGGGGCTGGGGATAGAGCTCCGTGGTAGAGCACTTGTCTAGTGTACGCAAGTGTGTTCAAAACCCCTGGAACTCCCACACCAAAACAACTGGAAATTCAACATCCATATTACATTTTAGAAAGATCACCCTTGTTGCTAGAGAGACAATGAATCAGAAGGTACTATTCTCGTATTAGTCTGTTTTTCATTACTGTAAGAAAATAACCAGGGCTAGGTACTTTATAGAGAGAAGAGGTTTATTTTGTTCACATTTTAGAAGTCTAAAGTCCAAGACTGGGAGTTCCCATGACATCCAGGTGAGATCATGTTTGTCAGACAAGAAGTGGAGGAAGTTAGGAAATTTCTCCCAGACTCTTCTGAGGCTACACACCCAGGTCACCTCAGGACCTGCCACAGATGCCACCTCCTAATGTCAGCATGCTGAGGACAAAGTGAATGAGCCCTTGGGGAACACACTCAAGCCAGAGCAGTCCCCAGCTCTTTTCCTTTGCAGCAGTAAATCAGCAAAACAGGATCCCAGTGTGTGTGGAGCTGGTCTCCACTGGCTTGTGAAAGCTGATGGTTCTATTTTCAGGAAAATTTACAAGCTGTTTAATGTCACAATGCAGTTTGAAATTAGCCACAGTACTAGAGTTTGGAAATGGTACAGCCTTTGTGCCAGGGTTTGGGGGAACCTGCTATTGAACATTTGGCTGCGTGGCACCATAGGGTCCTGTCCTCAAGAAACTTACTTTGAAGTTGGCTACTTCGTAAATATGTAAAGGATTTAAGATAATTTCAGGTTGTGATTAGTGCTTTGAAAATCTATTCGTGAGCAGAAGGGTGTGACACATGTTGGGGGCCTCTCTAAGAAGGTGACCTCAAAGTTGGAACCTAAAGTATGAGAAGTTGCCAGTGGCATAAGGGAAATAAACAGATTTCCAAGTAGGATGCCAGCTGCTAGAAGGGCCCAGGGACAGAGGTTGGAGGGTCCCAGGAATGGACCATCCCATGGCGCCCAAGCAGAGGGACGTGCAGGTGTGTCACAGGCATAGTGAGGGTTTTGGATCTTATCTTAGGCACAATCAGCAGTAGGTTAAGGGTTTTAGTGATAATTTGAGTGCTTTGGTTATGTTGCATTTTAAACGGATCACCCTGGTTGTTGCAGACAGTGAATTAGAGGTTAGAACACTGTTCTATCAGGATTGGAAAAGTGGGGTGCACAATCCTAGAGAACACTTTTCCTCATAGCATAAAGATAGAGGAAACAATGGTAAATGTGATTGTGTACAATCTTGCTGAGCATGACTTCCTTGCCTATCAAGTGCCTAACCTTTCTGTGAAGGATGGAGACCAGCAAGTCCATACCAGCAAGTCTGTGAACCCTCTAAGTTAATAGGAATCAAATCCCTGTACATTCAAAATGTTCATAAAGGAATTTGGCTCAGTAAGGAATTTATGGAAAAACTGGACCTCATTGAAGATCATGCCAGGTACTCATTAAAGTGGAAGGGATTGCTTCTCGGCTTTTTGGCTAAGACCAAGTGTAAAGGGTAAGGGTGGGTTGCAAGCAGGAATTACTTGCAATCGGATAAAAGCCACTGTGAACCAAACACACTTAAACTGGCCCAGATATCAGTAGGTCTGTGAAAGGTAATGCGCCAAGTGGAAGGAGAGGAAAGGGCAGGGACTCGAGCAGTCAGCGAAATAAAGCAATCACAAAACTTGGCAAAGGGGTGTGGGTCTCCATAAGCCCTCCAGGCTTGCTCATCGCTACGGTGTCTGGGCCCTTCCTCTCCAGGCTGGGACAGAGGTCTCTGTCTACAGTGTTGGCTGAAGCAGCAGCTGCTTGGGTGGTTAGGAGGTCTGACCGGTCGGCCTCTAAAGGGAGCTCTGGTCCTCCTATGCATGTGGCCTTGAGCTGTTAGAAACTGTTTTGTTCAAGTCTTTATAGGCCAAAGCTGAGGAAAGGATGGGAAGAGGGCTCAGAGGAGTCTCCCTACAGTCCAGTCAAAGAGAGCAGGTTTGTCAGTGTCAAGAGTGGTTCTCAAATATGTTTGTGTTTAAAATATTTTGAGTCATGTATTTGAGGCATGGTGGTACATAGCTGTAATCCCAGCACAAAAAAGGCTGAGAGAAGAAGATCACCGAGAGTTCAAGGCCAGCCTGGGCTACACAGCAAGATCTTGTCTCAAAACACACCCACGCACATGAGCACACATATCAGCACACAAGATTCCCACAGGCAGTTTTTAAATTTTTTGTTTTTTTGAGACAGGGTCTCACTGTGGGCTTTG